GATAAATTCAGTTGGAGCAATAAAAAAAATATCCCATGATAAGCATAGGACAGTCTGCAGATGACACTGCATTGTGGATTAAAGCCAAACATGCCCCTGAAAAGAGAGCTAAAATGAATACCACTTTCATTTTTAAAAGTCGAAAATTCAACAAATGTCCTCATCCGGACTCTTACAGATCCTGGATTTAAAGTAATTATCAACAAAACCCAAGCAATCTTCTTTAGCCAAAAACTATGCCCAGATCTGTTGATAAATGAAACTAACGTCTATACTACAAAATCAGTAAAATATCTAGAAGTTACATTTGATAAATTCCTTCAGTTTAAGGAGAATTTGAAAAATACGAGAAAGGAATCAACATCCTTAATATTCTGAAATACACAGCAGGAAAAACCTGGGGGATAAATTCAAAAATAAAAACATTGATATACAAAAATCTGAAATACGACCAGGGAGCAAAAGGTCAACTACAGAAACTGGACACCATTCAAAATTAAGCATTGAGAGTAATAGCTAATTCCACACCCGGAAAGCAAGGTCAAACATTGTAGAAAGCACGCAAGAGGTTATGGGAACTTTGAAAGTTGAAAAAATGTATGCCCACCACACTGAAACAAAAACTATCCTTATGGAAACAATATTGTGACATTAATGTGGACCTAACACTAAAGAACAACATAAAAAAAAGATAAGACAAATTAAGCATCAACGAAAAATGTTACATTACAACTTATTCATGACTTATATAGTAATCATAACCAGTATTTCACTGATGGGTGCAAGGGGGGTGGACGTACTTTGTCAGGATTGTTGTTTTTATTATTACCATCATCGTTGTCACTATCGTTATTACAAGTATCGTTATCATCGCTATTATTTTTAACAATTGCTATTACTGATGTAAAGGGGATATTATTATACCCCCCCCCCTCCCTCTATCAACCTGTCTGAATGAAATATATGAATATGTCACTACCCATTTAATTCAAGTATGAAGGAAATGATGAAAAAACAACAAAAAAAACCTTCGCAAGTTGATAGTGATGTAAAACATGGGTCTTTTCATCTTTCTATCCACTTTTTACACACGAGGACGTCGGTAAAGGGATGCGACCGTCTACAAAAAAAATTGCAATGATTGTGTTTATACATCATATTTCTACTCCCTAAACCGCGAGGAGATTGGTCTTATAAAATGTAACTCAATGGAATGATCAAACACAAAATGAGAATAGACATCTGCTTTCCTCTTGGAAAAAAAAATAAAGATTGTAATCTGAGGGATATAACTTCAGAATGTATGAATTGAATTATCTAATTGAACTTATTCATACAATGTAACTGATTACATACAATCTGCTGTAATGCAGGTTCTTAAGATATTAGATATTTTGTTGTGTAATAATATTATTGCATTTATTATTTTAAAGTTATTTTTCTCAAATTAATTCTATTGTTTGTATTATTGTTCCTGATAATTTTATTTTAACTATGTTGCTTTTTCTTCTTCTTCTTCTTCTTCTTCTTCTTCTTCTTCTTCTTCTTCTTCTTCTTCTGTCTATTATAGGTATTGTTGAAGGGTAATGGCCCAGTAATGGGTTACATTATACTGCAAATGTGGGACGAAAACGAGTAAAATAGTGGCGGAAGAAAGCTGGCCGAAAACGGGTTCACCGTTTTAATCATATACGATGATCAGTGGAGTTCATGGGTGGGTATATAAACACATCAGCAAAACCTTTGAACTCAGACGAGGTGGCACGCGATGAAAAACAAATGCATTATCTCTAATTATCAGGTGTGATTGGATACTGTTATCTTTTCACGAAGTGATATGTTTTGGTGATTTGTCATTGTATGAGTTTACTTTTAAGCACCTCTTAACGCTCTATGATTATCTGAGAGGCTGGTGATATAAGCGTACTTTTTTGTTTTCGGTTACGCTCAGTGCACACTGAAGAAAGTTTCGTTAAATCCCAATTTGATAATGATGGTTTTAATTGACACATTTGAAGGAATGCGCCAGCCGGTGCACACTTTATAATATTGACATTGTTTGCATTATCAAATCTGACTGGAAAGTTCTCGAGGGCCGCGTTCAAACAAGAGATCAAACTCCAAAATACGTAGAAGCCTTTTGATTTGCTGGTTTTTTTTTACATCTATCAAACTCTGATCTAGAGAATCAGACATGTTTCATATCATTATTATTAGATGATTTGATCATTGTACAATAAGTGTGTCTTTTGCCTTTACTTGAAGGACATTATGGCAGCTCTCAAATGAATCAGCAAATCATATCAAACAGAGATTTGATAAAACTTTCAGCACTGTGCACTGAGTATAAGGGAAGATATGGTGTTAGGTGAATGTACCCGAGTTCTTAATCAGTTATGATAGTGAGTGACATTCTTCTGTGGCGCTGCCAGTCCGTCTATTTGTCCGTCGATTTGCACTTCTGTCGCTCCGGTTCAAAGTGTCATCAGTCTCATCTCACTCGGACAAGGTTGTTAATTTCTTGAGTGGAACTAACAGGTAGGTAACTTTGTGTATGTGTGTATGTAAGAGAGAGAGAGAGAGAGAGA